ATGAGAACCAATCGTGTTGCTCGAGTGCTGGAATAATTTTTGCCAATGTGACCACATGGAAACGTTGCCATCTGAGATAACGATTCAGTTGGTGCAGGGCGAGTATGGGTCTCCATCCGCCTGACTTATTTTCTGTCAGAAAGTACCGGGAATAGAAGCCTTTGCCGCGGAAAGGGTGCGGAACCTCCTCTATAGCCCCCAGTGCCAGCAGATGGGATACCTCTTGCGTGAGTAGAGGCTCGTGAGAAGCGTCCCTGAAAAGGGAGGGAAGGGGGAGGGAGGTTGGCGGAAGGGAAAGAAATGGTATCACATAACCAGATGTTATTGGCTGTGTGACCCATCGATCTGAGGTAATGGCGGCCCAGCGATGTTGGAAGGGCCTCAAACGGTGGTGGAACAGTAGTTTCTTGACATTGGCCTCAGGTATCAGTGTAATGGCACATAATCCCTTGATATTCCCGTCAAACTTGCTGTTTGGCTGCCTGTTGCTGAGCTGGCTTGTGTTGCTGAGGGCAACGTTTCTGGGGTCGTTGACGACCTCTGTGGGATTCATAATGCCTGCTCTGATATGGTGGGTAGGAAAAGGTTCTCTGTCTCTGGTAAGGTGTAAAACTTTTACGCTTAAAAGGTGGGGTATACATCCCCAGAGTTCTTAATGCATGTTCTTTCCAGAGTGCAGGACCTGGTCAGTGGAATCTGCAAATAGATTTTGCCGGTCAAAGGGCAAATCCTCCACTTTTGACTGGAGCTCTTTGGAAGTTGCCGACATGTGGAGCCATGATGCTCGCCTCATTACTACAGCCATTGCTGTGGTGCGCGCGGCTGTGTCTACTGTATTGAGTGCGATATGAAGCGCTGAGTGCGATGATGTAAAGCCCTCTTGGATGATGGCCTTTAAAACCTGACGTTTCGATTCCGGCAGGTGTTCAAGGAGAAGGACCAACTTTGCATAGTTATCGAATGAGTGGTTCGCTAATAAAGCAGAGTAATTAGCCATGCAGAGCGACAGAGTGGTGGAGGAGTAGACTTTTCTACTGAAAAGGTCTAAGCACTTTACGTCCTTATCTGTTGCTGTGGTCTCATACTGGGGCGCTTTAGCTCTCTGTTGAGCTGTGTCCAGAACAAAGAGTTGGGTCCAGGATGGTTAAAAAGGACTTCCATGCCCAAAGCAGGAACATAGTACTTCCTGTCCACTTTTTTGTTCATGGGTGGAGCAGAGGCTGGTGCCTGCCTGATGGAATCGGCTATTTCGAATATGGCCTTGTCCAGTGGCAATGCTATTTTCGTAGACTGAGACAGGTGTAAATTCCTGAGCAAATGGTGCTGTTTATGCTGTACTTCGCCTAGGTTAGCATTTTGGGATTCAGCAACCCTCTTGAAGAAGCCCTAAAAGTCTTTTATGTCATCGGTAGGGGAGGCATCGCCCTGGAAAATGGCGTCATCAGGGGATGATGATGCAACCTCTGTCGGGGACTGAGGGTGAGATTCCTCTGTATCCGGAGGAAGAATCACCTATTGTTGCCCAGAGGCAAGCGGCATTCATTGCTCATCTGTAGGCGTCGGTGGTCTCTCAGGTTGTGGAGCGAGAGATACCGCTGTAGGTGGAGGAGGAGACGATGGGGCTGGTGATACCGATCTAGCCACTGAATGAGAATGGAAGCAAGGCAATCGGGTTCTGGTGTGATACGTATGGTACCATCTGTCGTTGTGATAAGGTCTGTAGTCGTAGTACCTCACGTAGCGGTATTCATGGCGCGATGATCTGTGGTACGATGGTGACCGGGGGCGATCTGGAGCGCCGCATGGAGCATGATGGCAATGGGGAGTAATAACGCTGGTAGTAGTACTGTGAGGGCAGTGTGTATCCAGAACGTCTCACAGTTGGTGACTGGTGGTGAGGAACCCTGGGAGAGCGTGGGGGGATGGAGGCTCCGGTGAGAATGCCTCTGGTCCCGGACTAGGAGACAGGGATGCGAGGCGTTGAGCTCTCTCGCTGGTGCCCTGGCTCTTGGCACCGGAAGTGGTGTCGGTGCGCGGGTTTTTGATGCCAAAGGTGATGTCGGCGTCTTGTGTCTCGGTGCTGACGATACTGTAGGCACCGAGGCTCATGGTGCCGACGGTGATGTCGGTGCCGAGCTTCTCGGTGCCGGGGGCGAGGACGGCGCCCTGACTGTCGCCGAGTCTAAGGGTCTTGGCACCGTGCGTTCTGGTGCTGGTGACGGTGTTGGCAGTGCTGTCTTTTCCCGATGAGAAAGTTGCTCTGATGGACTCGGTGCCGACGCACTATGGGTATGTTTATCCTTCTCCGGCCTGCGGGATGCCGATGACCCTGAGGTACCCAGCTTGTCCGCTGAACTAATTTTCATTGGTAATGAGTGAGACGGAGAGGAAGGCCTTTTCTTGTATGCTGCTTTTGTTAAAACAGGAGCGGACTCTGATGGCAGGTCTGTCTGTGGAGCAAGAGCCTTGTCAAAGAGCAGTATTTTAAGCCGCATTTTGCGGTCTCTGCGGGCGCAGGCCGTTAGCTTACAGCAGTGAGGGCACTTCTGCGGGATGTGCCCCTCACCTAAGCACTTAATACAGGCCGAATGCCCGTCTGAAGTGGGTATAGAGTCTTTGCAAAGTGCACACCTCTTAAATCCGGGGGATCCAGGCATTTTAACTACTAACGAACTACAACTATGAGGAAATTTTTATTTTGTTAACAACTACAACTGTAACTATGATATAACTGTATTGAAACTATAATTATAACTAAGCTGGTGTTTCTCTTCTAACAGGAATGAAGTTGACAGGAGATGGAGCAGTTTCTCCATCTGCATCCGTGGACAGTTGAGAGGAACTAATGAGCTGGACCGCGCAATACAGAAACGGCGCAAAAAGCCGCAAGATGGCTGCCGCGCATGCGCGGTCCGGCAAACAACAGCTAAGAGACCTCCGATCTGCGGCACCGGGATGTGACCCAACACCTACAGTGGAGCACCCACGGGGACACTACCCGAAGAAGTAATTCTTCCACTGTATCCTGTGCTGATTAAGCCTTAGTTGGAATATTGTGTCCAGTTCTGGGCACCACATTTCAGGAAAGATTGGAGAAGGTCCAGAGAAATGCAATAAAAATGATTAAAGATCTAGAAAACATGTCCTATGAGGGAAGGCTGAAAGAACTGGATTTGTATAATTTGGAAAAGAGAAGACTGAAAGGGAACATAAGAACAGCTTTCAAATACCTAAAAGGATGTTACAAGGCGGAGGGACAGAAATTATTCTCCTTAACATATGATGAAAGGACAAGAAGCAATGGACTTACATTGTAGCAAAGGAGGTTTAGGCTGGAAATTAGGAAAAACTTCCTGTCAGGTGGTTAAGCACTGGAATAAATTGCCTAGGGAGGTTGTGGAATCTCTATTATTGGAGATATTTAAGAGCAGGTTAGATAAACATCTATCAGGAATGATCTACCTGGTGCTTGGTCCCGCCAGGAGTGCAGGGAACTGGACTTGATGACCTCTCGAGGTTCCCTCCAATTTTAGTATTTTATGTCTATAAGATTTGGCCACTATTTCTCTTTTAACTACACACAACACACTTCTAGAAATTTACCATAAATGCTATTGAACAGTTTGGACAGCTTTCATCTTTTCATCAGATCCCTTTCTTACACTGCAATACAAAGACCTCTTTCTGGCATACATAGCATAAGATTTACAAAATTCTGAGAAAGTCTATTCATATTACTTCCATTCTCCAGATGAGGGATGAGCAATAATTTTGGAAGGGGAGCCACTTAACATATTTTGGAAGTGGCTTTGAGCCAATCCGGAAGGGGTGGGACCTCGGGTGAAAGGGGTGGGGCTGAGAACTGCCCTGTTGGGTACAGTGACCTTATTTTCGGAACCAGCTGCAGTGAGTAAGAACAGTTTAATTTAAATTATGAAACAGATTACGCGTTTTAACTTTCTCATGTTAGTTTATCAAACTTCATTTTAAATAAAGTAAAATATTGTGTCCTCCACGAAAGGTTTCAATGTTTTCTTTATTTATGGGAGAGTGGGGAACCCTTTTTGGGTCTGGGGTCACTGACCTACAAAAAAAAATCAGTTGGGGACCACACAAGTGAAAAGCAAAAAACTCCTCCAAATGTCCCCAACACTCTCTGATGTGGCCCCAACTGAGACACCTCACTCTTCTGGTGCCCCAACCTCATGGGGTGAAGGGAAATGAGAAACTGAGGTTCAGGGCGTCCCATAGATCAGATTTACTTCTGTGGAGTTCTGGAGTTAGTGGATTTTATGGAACCTTCTTAGGTTCTGGGGTAGGGACAAAAATGAGGGGTATAGTGCATGAGACAAGGTTGCCAGCAAGTAGGATAGGGATGAGGTGCAGGATTTGGGGGAGATCTGGGTGCAGAAGCAGGCTGGGAGTAGGGTGTCTGGCCAGGTGGAACAAGGGAGGATGCAGTATGTAGCCAGGAGAGAGGGTGCAAGAACAAGGGAGGGTGTCAGAGTAATCTGGGCATGCTGGGTCTTGGGGGGGAGGTTGGGGAAGGGAAGTGATGGGATCGGAGAGGAGAGGAGAATAGGGGGTCTGAACATGAAGGGAAACCATACCTGGCTTTGTGCTCCCTTGCAGCATGGTTGCAGTCACGAGGTCCCAGCTGCCCCAGAGGGAGTCCCCGTTGCCACGGCTATGCAGTCCTGGAGGCCGGAGACACTGCTGCCATGGCCACGAGATCCAGGGTTGGCCCTGAGGCCACAGGCTGCCCCCAGAGGCACTGCGGCCATGCAGCTTGGAGCTATCCCCAGAGGCACTGTCGCCAAAGAGTGCTCCGGAGGCACTGCGGCCCAGGGCCAGCCCCAGAGGCACCGCTACCATGGACGGCCCCGAAGACACTGCTACCGCAGCCCGGGGCCAGCCCCAGAGGCACCAGGAGCGCAGCCACTGTGGCCTGGGGCCGCCCCCAGAGGTGCCCAAGGCAGCGGTGCCTCCAGCCTCTGGGGTTAGCCCCAGACCATGTGGTTGCGGAAGCAGCCCATCCGGGGCTGGCCCTGTTAAGGAACCTCAGCCCCAGTGCTTCCTCTTCTCCAGCGACAGCGTGGGGGGTGGAGCAGCAGGGCTGAGCTCCTTCCCCCCTCGCAGGCTGGATCAAAGCCCAATGTGGGCTGGATCCAGCCTGCTGAAAGGTTTTTGCCCACGCCTGCTCTAGCTCAATACCTATTGAAGTTAATCACAAAATCTTGCTGATTTCAGTGCAAGAGTGTTGGGCAAATCAATCCCCTGAATATATAACCACATCACTATAATGCGCCATCTAATGGTAGGGGAGAATAAGCAGAGGCCAGGAAATAGGGGGATCTCTACTGACTCCCTGTGACACGGGAATCAGCAATACTGGCCATGACATAGCAGGGTTATATCCTCTCAGTTTTCATAGTTCCAGGAGATATTTGGCTTCTACTTGGAAACCCATCTGACATGGGTGGAAGAACCTTTCACCACAGACTGCAAAATCCTTTTCAGTAGTTTGTCCCAAAAGCTGTACACTATAAATTAATGACTGAACATGTTTATTCTTTGCCCAAGATATTCACCCTTCTTATGTTATACTGCCTGCCCCAGCTCTCTCAGACAGATTCCCCCCATCCCGAACTCATAGATTCAAGCCACCATCAACCAGATTAGACTAACCAAAATGCAGAATATTTACAATTACAAAGTGATCACTTGTTATCTCTTCATACTTTCCTCTACTTGTTTCTATACCCTGATATTCTTGTGGCAGCAAATCTTCATTTTTTAGATGCTTGCATGTTCAAATATTTAGTGGCAAAGGCTCAATTTTTAAAAAAATGTTGCAAGTGTTGGTTTGAGCAACAGGGTGGATCTGACAGTTGGAATACATAAGACTACGAACCAAAAGAATCAGTTTTCTTCTTTTGCTGTTATATTTACATTTTTAAGAGTCAATTTGTATTTCAAGTATATATCTGATTATTTCTCCATTTCTTTTCATTTTTCTTCAACTATTCACGCATCCTCCTTTAAAGCCCTGTAAGTCCTCACTATTTATCAAGCTTGTTGATAAAAAAAAACACAGTCACAGACATAGACACTATTCAACAACATTCCACTGTGCCACAAATGAGAAATGTCAGTAGAACTACTCTATCTTTCTCCTTTCATAGCTCGCATTTCATGAGCACACATGCACATAGACAGCAGGCAGACAACAATATACATAGATAACAGATGGGTCTCTTGCATTTCAGATTTACCTATAACTGTGTTCTTCCATCAGAACTTTAAGTGTGTTTTGCTTCTGGCACTATCAATAGCAATCCCACAATACAGACTGTTAAGAAAAATGTTGCTCAACATTAGAGATAGGAAGAACAGAATCCAAAAAACTTGGGTGTCTCCTTATAATGCTTTGGGGGGTTACTTGTGAACCCCTAGAAATCTTACAAACTATGCACTGAATACATACTGCTACTGGGACATGTAGTTCTTAATGGCCAGAAAAATCAAAAATACAAAATGAATACCCTAATATAGGTGTTGGAATTAGGGGTGCTTGAAATAGTTTCCATATATATAGCAGCAATGGACAACGTAGGCTAGTGAGTGGGCCATATGAGTAGTATAACTTCATCTCAGTGGGCCACAAGGTTGCTGTATCCAAGACAGCCTCCCGGGGTAGGGTAGTTCTGCTAACAGTGCCTACCTACATGGAATTCATGGGGCATGCTGATTGAACCATAGCAGCACTCTTGAATGCAGAGAGAGTCCATGGCTCTCACTGTCAAGGCTGTATACAATCAGCATTCACCTCATTTCATGTGCCCCTGCTTTACATGTGTGTCGCATTATTAAAACCGGTAGGAAAAAACTACGCAAATGGAAACCAGTGGAATCTGGCAGCCTTGCACATGGTTCAATGACTTTCAGCACTCCCACTATACACAATATTCCAGCACTGTGTATACTAACAAAAAGAAGGATATGTACATCTCACATACCAAAGACACAAACTGAGTCTGAAAGGACAGATAGACATTGTATGAATTTTCTAGAAGGATTTCAGGGTTTTTAAATGAATATAATCCGTTTCTCAAGTGAAATCCATGTTTGCATTTAATTTTCTATCCAGGCTGTCCAAGTTATTCCTATTGTGGGAATATTGGCAAAATAGAAATAATTCCACAAAGATGAGTTCTGCCCTCTTATCCTATTTTTTTAAATTAAGATGCCAGTGATGACAGTTAAGAAAAAGATATAACTCGTATTTAAAGTGTCTGGTTCTCGAGCCTCAATTCTGCATCTGTTCCACATGCAGAGCTTTCACTGAGTACAGTGGCAGTCCAGGACACAGAATGACTGAAGGATCAGAGCCTGCAGTGAAAACATACAATTTGGTACACACTATTTTTGGGTGGCTAACTCCAATGTTTTTAACTCAGTCCATTTCCTTTCTCTTTGACATGCTTTTATGCAGAATATATTCTTCCTACTGATACAGGACAAATGCTTTAGAATGATTACTAAGGATTTAAGGGGGTTATTTCTTCTCTTTCATTTTGCAGTCTTACCTTGTATGCGGCTTGTCTCATAAACTGCTTTGCTGGCTGTTTCCAAATAGCAGGCACTGTAATGACCCATCTTACCTCAGAGTTTTCAAAGTCTGAGCCAGCTTGATCACTTAGCTCCTAAACCAAATGAAAACACAGAGAGAGATGTAAAATTGACACCAGCTGTTTTGCAAGTACATATGGTTTTCGGCTGGCTCCGGTGAAGGTAACTTTCACTTTTTGTAATTTTTAATGTTATGTCTACATTACAAGTCAGAATGTTTAAATCACTAGCCGATGTCAAGAATGCTCATAATACCAACTCTGGAGTTACAGCATGCCTTCTCTAGGAGGCCTACAGAAAGATTTGGTGGAGTTACTTTTTCCAACATGAAGTTCAGGTTTTGCTGAATGTAATAGCATATTTATGTGTGTTCATGGTAAAAGTCTGATCTTTGTTGCCACTTTAAAGAATTCACACTTACACCCTGATTAATGTATAGCAAATTATTTGCTGTAGCACTGACAAACACTGCATTGTACAATCTGTGTTTATCAATGGTTGCTTTATTTATGGCTCGTCTTCAAATCAATCCATTTTTTAAAAATTGAGCCAATAAAATTCCCTCTTAATAAAATTTTTTAAAAAATTTGACTGTTGAGGACTTGAAAAAAATTGTTGTTGAACAAACATGTAGTAGCATTTTTTTCTTTAAAAAAAAAAAAAGCTTGTAGTCCATTTGCAGATTAGGTAATATTTGTGATATCTTTTGGAGAAGCTCCAACTGAAATGTCATTATTATATGGCCCATTTAAATCTCCATTCAAACAGGGTAAACAACAGCCTCCTTTAGAATATAAAATATTTTTATATATGCATTTCCCCAAGGTACTGGGTTCACTTAGCTACAATACAATTCAAATCCTGTGGTAGAAAAGTAGACATCTTTTATCACAAGGCATTTTGTTTGATCTGATCATTATACACACAAAGTTATGATCCATTTATACTGCTTATTTTATATATATCTAATTATTTTATACATATAACATCACATCACAGAACTCTGCTTATTTTAAACCAGTTCAGATCCAGAGGATGCAATGGAGCAAAACTGTAAATGTGTCTGTGCAACAGTGCCCCACAACATGCCCATTTGTTGCAGAATTTCCCTGGACTGTGAAGGGTTTCCGTTCTGTAACTCACTAACACTCAAGTGTGGAGACAAAGCAAAACAAAATAGTTAGGAGTCCTAAATATGGCCTTGGAAATGTAGAGGTAGGCTGGTGTCTTCTCTCATGTCAGCCATAAAGAAGTGAGATAACCAGTCAAAGAGAATAAATAAATCCCAGTCAAAGAAAAAAGTAGGTTAGCTATCTAACAATGAAGTTGTTTAAGTGCAATGTGTCCAAATGAAGTTTTAGGGACAAATACTGCAATAGCAAACCCTATTTATATAGCATGGGTGTATGTGAATCCAGAATTCAATTCTTAAGTCATCACAATCCTGAGCTGTACCAATTCAAGCTGTGTGTATAATGTTCCCTTAGGGACAGCAAACCTGGTAATTTCTGTGAGTGTCCAGCACAGGCTGGATACTATAGAAGATACTTTCAGAGGGGCTACAAGATAAGGTACAGGTTGGCAGAGCCTGGGTGAGATGGTTTGGGTGGCTAACAGACTGGTGGTGTTAGGGACCTGACACCCAGTTAAGCACAAACAACTCTCTCTCTCCAGAGACTGGAGGGTGACAAAGTGACTCACGGTCTTGGGCAACCCAAGAGAGGATTACAGCAGCATGAACTGTTTACCTAAGAAATAGAAATGTCTTTTATAGGATAATACATGCCATATAGCTCACCATGGTCTAGGAAGCAGTTACAGAAAGTGTGAAGTATTGCAACTTTTCAGTATGTGTTAGGGGAAAATATGATTCCATGCTCTCTAATTTGTGATGCTTATGTTATGAATTTTGTTTTCTTTATTACAAAGAAACCAGGCCACTTTCATCTCTCTTATCAATAAACAGCAGCCATGTTACTTGAAAAGCCAAAATCCAAAAGGGTGGATTTTCACTTTTAAAACAGAAGTGATGCTGGGGAGGAATGACACTAGAATAAATTATAACAGATGTTGTCTATTTTGTATCTCCCTAATGCAGGTGAGATTTTTATAGGCAATCATTTTGTATAAGGAACAAAAAACAACATCTGCTTTCAGTTCACAACTGGGTGAAGTCTACCCTATGTAGAGAACTGGCACAAAGTCAAGACACCATATTTACCTGCAAAACAGGACCTAACGGGAACTTGACTAGAATCTGTATTGGAGTGAATTTCACCCAACGAGTACAAAGAGGTTTAGCTATTTGACTCTAAGACTCTTACAGCTAAAAGCTAGCAAAGCTCTGAAAATTCATCTCCATTAAGGAACAAATTCTGCTCACCTGACTGACTTCTGCCTACTCCCTGCAAACCGTTGGAGATTTGTGTGACAAAAGATCAGCAGGAGTCAGCCCTGGGAGATTAGAGTACAATTTCCTAGACAGTCGAGAACCTTTAAATGAGTACAGAATATGGAATACCCCAGCAGCAGGAGAAGCATAATGAACAGACCCAGAGAAGGGTCTCAGATGTATTACTTCTAGAGACTTACATGTGCACATAGTGCCAAGCACTGAGTTTTCTGTACTCAGATTTTATATCTTATTTTGCAAAGGCAAATACTAAATACAAAGATTTTCCTTGACAAGAAATTAATAGGTATAAAATCAACATTTGATTGAGAGAACATTCAGTCTCTGCATTGTGGTAATACCAATACCTCCTCTTGCTGTCCCTGCAAGGAAGGAAATCACTTGAGGCTATGCAGGACCTTTTACAGCCCCCAACTTTACTGGAGTTTTACAGCTGCCCCACTTTGTTTATATCAAACACTGCTGGAGGCTGAAGCTTGGCATGGTTTAAATTGATGGGACAGCGTTTGTGCTAGTTATAAATATAAAGAACTGGATAAGGAAGCATTTTTCCTACCTTTAATGCCTGTTCCTTAAAGAACTGCAGGGCGTAAGCAAATATTTCAAGTGCTTTGACTTTTTTGCCATTTGCAGCTGTCAGATCTGTTTCCATGGTGAGATTCTGAAGGAAGAAAATAAGAGGTAAATGTTAAATTCATTTCCCATTGCTTGAGGGAAGGGAATTCTTCCTTGCTGGGCCCTACCAGCTTAGGAAAAACTGACATACATTGTTTTGAGGTATTTTTTCCTGAGTTATCTTTTGGAGAGGAGCTAACAAACCACAGGGATTTTCTGAATTACGATATTTTGTTATTTGTTAAAAGAGAATTTTTTTGTACCCAGCAGCTGTAACTACAAATAATTGTAGGCAGAGCTTATGGATATTTAAACACCTCATTTGCATAAATTTCCCCTGCAATAACTGCAGCCATGAAATTGCATGCAAAAAACCTCAAAATCCAAGGTAAGGATGAAAAAAATCATACAGTATATTTTTAAATTCCAAAGAGCATGTCTACACCGGGAAATTATTTCAATACAACTTCCCTTATTTCAAAATAATGAGATAAGCATCCAAACTACCCAAGCCTGTTATTTAGAAATAATGGGCTGGTTATTTTGAAATAATAATTCCTGCCTGTGAAGAGGAATAAGTTTATTTCAAAATAGTTATTTCAGGAGTTATTATTTCTAAATAACTTATTTCAAAATAACCTGGTAGTGTAGATATAGCCAAAAAGAACAGACAAAACAGGATGGGCCAGGAGAGGCAACTGCCCGATGTGTAGAATGGTATTAATTAAAATGTTTGTTGTTGGCAGAGGGAAATAAAATAAAACAATGTGTATAATGTTCCAAATTTAATTTAATATACCCTTTATTCATACTTGTACAAATGTTTGTATGAGTATGAACGCTAGTGGCTCCACACCTGACTCATAATTTCTAATGAAATCTGATATGACACTTACAGAAATATGTTTAATTACAAATCAAAATAATTGAAGTAGAGCTCAGTTATTACTTACACTAGTGGTGTGTAGCTTCATCTTAAACTTTTCAAAGTATAACCAATGCTTGGATTCATTGGGATCCAGGTCATGATAGAAATCTCTGGCTGCATAACCAAAACTATGAAACTTTCTTTCTGGTGTTAAAAGGATAGTAGTTGGAGTCTTCTGATTGGATACACCAGGATCACCACCTTCCCAACGCCTATGAAAAAGGTTAACAAGCTTCAATTTAGTGATAACTGACATTCACAATGATATGCTTATTAATGCATTGTGTAAACAAGCTGTATCTGGCAGTGGATTGCACATAAGAATTTCACGAGCAGAACTGGATTTGAATCCTGTTTAGGCCAAAAGTGAATGTTTATTCACATCCAAGAAAACTTTGTTCCAGATAACTTTTAACAGCCTTCACACAGTCATGAAATTTTCAGCAGTCAACAAATTTTCAACATGAAATTTTCAATCCTATCCTTGATATGTATATAACTCCCACAATGTGAGCTACAAAAGAGTAACAAGGGGACAAAAGTAGTAAGATAATTGAAAGTCAATAAAATAATGAACAAATGAAATAGCTACTATATATTTGAGAGTTTGCCTGTGAATGAGCAAGTTTGTCTGACTGTTCATTTGTTCAAGAACTACTTTTAAACATTAAGACCCACCAAATTTTGTATACATCTTCCTCTACAAAATGAGAATAATAATAAATCCCTACCTCAAAGGGGATTATGAAGATAAATTCATTAATATTTGTGAAGCACCTGGTGAGTATTTCTGGTTTTGGATTTTACTTAGTTAAAAATTCAAAGTTCAGTCAAAAACAGTTTAAGTAGAAAAATTTCCCCCAGCCATAATCATAATGTATACAAACAAGGGGTCATTTCTGGTATTTCCTAATTTTTGAGTGCATGATTTTGTGACTATAATGTTGGGGGGACAGGGTTTCTGTGTAACTTTACAGTTATGTAAAGAAGGCCTCTCCCTTTCAGAAGAATCAGCAGTACTCTATGGGTACGTCTAGACTACATGCCTCTGGCGACAGAGGCATGTAGATTAGGCTACCCGACAGAGTAAAATGAAGCGGCGATTTAAATAATCGCCGCTTCATTTAAATTTACATGGCTGCCGAGTTGAGCCGACAAACAGCTGATCAGCTGTTTGTCGGCTCAACTCGGCAGCCATGTAAATTTAAATGAAGCGGCGATTATTTAAATCGCCGCTTCATTTTACTCTGTCGGGTAGCCTAATCTACATGCCTCTGTCGCCAGAGGCATGTAGTCTAGACGAACCCCAAGAAAGAAAGGCAGTCCATACCTCTTTCACTGTAATACGGCTTTTGCTTATCGGATAGTCAACTAGTCAACTAATCACTTAGGGTATGTCTACACTACCCTGCTAGTTCGAACTAGGAGGGTAATGTAGGCATGCCGCACTTGCAAATGAAGCCCGGGATTTGCATTACCCTATGTCAATGCTATGCTCACGTTCCTGACTAACTTTCCCTTCTACAATCGTCTCTCTGCCTTTCTTCTTCTCATCATCATCATCAAGCACCAGACTTGACTGTCTCAGATGCACAGAATGGTCAGCTTTAGAGAGCAACAGAGAGACAGTTCCCTTGCTCTCGGTTCCTCATCCCCCTGCAACTTAGAGAAACAATTTAAGGGGAAGTCCTGTTCGGCCTAGGATGAAACATGTGTACCTGTTCTATGATGGGCAGCAGCAGAGGTGCAATCCAGCCACACACAGGGACTGTAGATGGAATCTTAGGAGAATGGAGCTAACAAATTCAAGCCGTTTCTACTGATCAACTGGAAACTGAAATTTTTCAATTTTTCTTATAACTAGCCAAATTTTGGGCAAATTTTCATGGGGGCAGAAAAAGGCCCATCCCTGATAACACAGTCTCTCCCACTTTGAATTTTTAAGTCCCTGCTCCAAAGCATGTGTAGAGGCCTGGACGGATAGAAAATCTATATCTGCATATTATCCAAAAAATGATCTGTAAATGTGAATACCTACAAATATAAAGTAGATGTCTGTGGATCTGCAGGGCTCTGAGCATGGGGACACTAGAGATTTCAACCAAAAGGTTGTAAAAAATGTTAACAGAGCAAAACAACGTATTACCCCTTAATCTTATCCTCAGACAGATGAACTACTTTTGCTGAACTGGGCTAAAATCCAGCTTAAGGCAAACACAATATGGAAAACTTCAGCCTGAACAGTTAGCATTTGGCAAAGTTATAAGCCACTGAGAACAGGACCATATAATAGGAGTTTTGGACAATGTTAACTACAGGCTGAGCTATTTCCTCAGCATATAACATTGGATATTTAATTTATCATGCTTTGTTTTACCTATTACATACTTTATATGAGTTGCAATACTGAGCCTAGGAAAATGAATAAATATAAAACAAATTATAATATTTTCCCAGGTAAGACTTTTTAAAAAATGGATCAATGACAATTCAGTTCTTATTGACGTATCACTCCATGAGCAGTTTAGGGAGAGAGCGCGTGGAGTCACTCTTCTTCACTTCACCTGTGCCCTGCGAAGTTGAGAAATACTGCAGTACATAAACACACTGCAAAGTTCAAGGGACGCTCCCACTAGTCTGAAAGAACAGTTATGATGGGCAATGGAATGTTTTCAATGTCCCTCAATTAGGAGAGACTTTGCTCAAAACATTTGATTTGCCACTCAGCTAACTGGCCCCGGCAATAGAAAATGTCAAGTATCAAATTGATCTGTTCTGATTTTTAATTTTATCGTTTGTAACTTGCCACTTGGGGCTTTTCTGATTAATTTAAAAATCTTGGATTAGATATTAAAAGACTCCAATGTCTGAAAGAACTGAAGAGATAAGGAACCAATATAGGGATGCAGACCAAATGAAACATTGTTCAATCAAAATGTTGAAGTCCCACATACTGGACATAAGTGCAGAGATTTCCAAATCACCTAAGTGATTTACATGCCCAATTCTTAATTGTTTCTAATGGAAATCTGGTCTCCAAATCCCTTAGACAGATTTTAAAATCTCAATTTATATCTCTGTGCAGACATAAAAGAGCAATAAAATGCAACAGAAAGTATGACTTTAGTTTTAATAATAATATAGACCAAAGACTCATATGGCATCTGTTCTCTTCTAGGGTAGGGAAGCTATGGTCCTGTGGACTTAATTAAGTAACCTACTCATGTTCTACTCATGATTCTGCCACTAGCTCACTAACTGTGTGTCTAGACTACAGAGTTTTGTCGACAAAAGTGGACTTTTGTCGACAAAACTATACCTGCATCCACACTGCCTTTGAGTTATGTCGACATAACGTCGACAAAACTCAGCAGTTTTGTCGATGTATGTAAACCTCATTCTACGAGGAATAACTCATTTGTCAACGTAGTTCTGTTGACAAAACAGCAGTGTGGATGCAGGGGAAAAGTTATGTCGACATAAAAGGCCTCCAGGGAGAACCCCTGGTGGACACTCTTGCCACAGCTTGCAACTCTATTGTTCCTGGCCGTAGCCATCTTTAAAAGGCACAGGCACCCAGGAGCAGCACTCTGGCAGCAAGCGAGCTCCAGAGCAGACCAGGGCTGTACTGTTCAGTTCAGGTCGAGCTATGTCGCAGGGACAAGCCCCCCAAGACTCCTCTGGCCCTTCCAGGGAATCATCCCCCTGGGAACCCCGGGGCACCAAGCGCCGGGCACCCTACTGGTCAGGGCCAGAGATAAAAGCCCTCCTGGGCCTCTGGGCTGAGGAGGACTCCCTACAGGCCATGCACTCCACGAAGAGGCGGAATGCAGACATCTATGCCCGAATGGCAGAAGAGCTGGCCAAACAAGGCCACCATCACCGCACACTGGAGCAGGTCAGAGCCAAAGTAAAGGAGCTGAGGCAGGGGTATGTCTGGGCCCGTGAGCAGAGCTCCTGCTCCGGGGAAAGGCCGCACTCCTTTGAGCACTATGAGGACCTGGACAGAATCCTGGGGGCAAGAGATCCTCTGCCTCCTGAGAGGCTCGTGGAGTCTGGCCTGGAGACCCCGGTTCTACCGCGGCTGGAACACCTGCTGGAGGACCAGGAGGAAGAAGAAGAGGAGGAGGATGGTACCCAGGAACCAGGCACCCAGACACAGGAGGCCTCCCAGACCACCTCGGACCCCGGGGAGGGAACATCAGGTGAGTGCTGTAAGGGTCCAAAATAAACACGCAGGGCAGGGCAGGGCAGGGCAGGCGGGAGCAAAGGGGACGGTGCAGTGCTGTGACATGTCATGCTGAGCAAGGCCCGGGGGGAGAGAGGGGGCACACCCATGGCTGCCCTCAGGGAGGACCGTGCTATCCCCCTGCACCCACATGGCTGCTAGGCACCGCCTGTTCCTGCAGGCAGGGATGCCACATGCAGGCATGGGCTGGAGACGCTGGGACAGCCTCACAGCTGCAGGCCTCTCAGCACTCAGTGGGAACCCTGACCGTGGCCCGACACTCATCCGTGCTCCTCAGCCATGGGGGATGCGTGAGGGTGGGGGGGTACGATGGTGGTCTGCACACCACCTGGGCCTGGCCGCACCATGCCTTACTGAGACACACATGAGCAGCCTCTGACCCTAGCATAGGCACTGCCTGCTGAGAAGAAGGAGGGCATGCCCTCTCAGGGAAAGGGTGAGCATGCATGACTGACGACTTTTCCCTCTTGTCCTCCACAGCCGGAGCAGCTGACCAGGAGGGGGATGCCCCACCTGCCCGCCCACCCAGGCGGCTGCAGGGCACCCGTAGGCACTGGCGCAGCTACTTAGAGCTGGTGCGCCAGCACGTTGGAGGCCTTCAAGAGATGAAGGACTCCATGGAAAGAGGGCTGGAGGCAGACGCCGAGTAGCGCCGCCAGTTGCTGTGCAAATTTACCCAGCAGCGCAGGGACATCTGCGCAGTGATCCGGGAGGCCATGGCCTTCCCCGGTCCTTTGCCTGCTCTTGCCCCTCCTCCTCAGCCTGCCCCCTCCTCTGCCCCTGCCATCCCAGCCCCAGCCCCACCTCCTGCCCAGCCCCCTTCTGTGGTATCCCACATGCGCAGCCGGGTGCCTGACCACCCAACACAAACGTGCCCAGCCCCCTTCTGTGGCATCCCGCACGTGCAGCTGGGCGCGACAAGGCCGCCAGAGCCAAAGGAGCAGGAGCTCGGCCTCCAGGCAG